CTGTTATTGCAAGGTACGGACTCGACAGGCGTGCCATGCTTTTCAGAGATGACAAGCAGAACGCCGCCTGGCAAGGGATCTGAGCCCTGCCACCAGATCCAGTAGGTACGGATGTCAGGCAAGCACGGATGTCAGGCAGATATCCCTGCAGCCTGACGAGCTATTGTATGCCGAACCACCTGGGGCAGGTTTGCCTTGCACCGAGGTGCCGAGGTACGCCGAGGTGCCTGCACTGGAGGCAGGCCTTAAGCAAGTTCGAATAGGAGTCTCGACGGTGTTGCCCAGAGGTGTTTCTCCCTCGAGACACTTAGCCAAAAACCGGGGTGCTCCCTTCTAAGGAAGGGAGAGCTCGGGCCTTGAGAGGAGTTCGGGTCCTGAGAGGGGTTCGGGATCTCCCACACTTGGTGGGAGTCAAGGTTGGCCGAGCGCTAGTCCCCGGCAAGTGGCCAATGTTGGACTCGTCGGGTCATACCCGTCGAGTCAGGGGTTGTGCTGTTAGACCGAGCTGTTCGTCGAGCCAGGTCACGCACACGTTTCCCTGTGCTGCGAGGTCAGGCCAAATCACCCTCCATCAATTGCCCCCCACTCCCCGTGCTGGGGGTGCTGACCCAGTGCGGGGAGTTCACGGTGCGCCGGGTGGATTTGGCTCGACACTTATGCCACTTGTCGGGCAACCCATTGGCCAGACCGGTCTAGCACTTGGTTCACTCGGAAGGGAAAAAAACCGGGTTGCGTACAACTCACACGCGGACTTCACGCGATATGGACTTCGCGAACGCCAAAAAACGCGCTAAACTAATTTCACCTCAAGAGCCTCATAGCCGGTTTTCTTGAGAACCGTCAGATTGCTTCGATCTTGACTATTGGTGCCCGGGCCTAGCGGCTATAAATAGTGGGGGACCCTGGTCATTTTCTTCCGCCACTAAGTATCCTTCGTCTAGCTTGAGCACGCGTCTAGAGTCTTTAGCTCGGGTCTTCTAACTCGTCCAGTTCTAATTCGGTTGCGTTTTTCCTCGGTGAGTCCCCGAGCCTCCCTTTCTCCTTTTTCAGTTCATTTCATTCAATGTCTAGCGGGGACAGTCTCTTAAGCGAGCCCGAGGTGGGTACCTCGGGTCTGGGTGACCCCGCTGTTGCCCAGCCTTCCCACGAGGCACGGGTGACCTCGGGTAGGCTGGCGTCCACCTCCCGCCGAGGTCGGGTGCCAGATCAGTTCGGTCCATCCACTATGACGCTGGAGAGACTTCAGCACCTCATCCAGCACTTCAACCTACCTCAGGAATACTCATATAGTCTTCCTACCGGCAACTTCCCTTGGGAGCACGGTCTGGATGAGATCATGATCTTTAGGGAGAAACTTGTCGGCGGGCTTCGTCTCCCTCTTCACCCCCTTATCCCCGAGGTGTTGACGTGCTTTAACGTCACGCTGGACCAGCTCCACCCAAACTCTATTCGAAACGTGGTCGGGACTATCTTCCTTTGTTTCGAATACAACCTTCCCTTAGACATAGATATCCATTGTTCTATTTTGTCAATAAAGAAGAGCGCCTCGGGCGTTCTCCCCGAGCACAGGCGGACCTACAATCTGTCCCTTCGCCCTAGCTTCAAATTGTTACATAAATTCCCAAGCAAGGTCCTGGCCTGGAAGCGGAACTACTTTGTAGTTTGGAGCAGCACGGGGTGCCCCTTCCTTACTAATTGGAGGGTGGCTACTTAAGACCCCGGCATTATTCTCGATTCGAAGACGAGGGAAACACTCCACTCATGGGCTCAGGTCAGGCTTGATCACAAAGATTACATTGCCGAAGATAAGCTCATTTAGGCCAGTTTGAGCCCGGGTAGGTCTATTTTTACCTTAGCGTCTCGCTTAATCAGCTATGTGTTCTCAAGCTTACTGACACCGAGCTCTATTGCAGGTCCCATGGAGGAAGAGAGGATTACCGGTCAGAGGCTCCTTCGCCAAATGAAGAAGAGGAGGAAGCGAGCCGCCAAGAAGGCGCGTATAGAGCCCCCAAGTACCCCCACCCCTGAGCCCGACCTCCCACAGGTTCCCTCTTTAGGGCCCGAGCTCCCACATGTTCCTTCTTCGTTGCCCAGACTCCCACAGGTTCCCATCTCGAAGCCCGAGCTCCCTAATGCCCCTCCAGTGATAGATTTGGAGGGGGACTTACCATCTCAGGAGCCTAAGGTGGCGGCAGAGCCGGTCGCTGAGCCAGCCGAGGCTGCTGCCGAAGTTCCTAATCCCGCTGAAGCTGCTGCTGAGGCTTCCGAAGAATCAGCTCATCATGCTGCTGAGATGGCGGTGTCCAGCTCGGGGAGCTAGGAGGAGGAAGAGAGCATCCTGATCCCCTAGTGTAGCCTCCAAAAAAGTAAAGAGGCTGTCTACCCCCACAGAGGTTACAGACTGGGCCGATCTCACCCCTGGTCAGCTTGGGGCCCGCACTGCAACCCACGCTATGGTGGTGAGTTCACACTCTAAGAATCATCATTTTCCCATTCTTTCATTCTTTTCTCTTTGGTACTGACCGACCTCCTTTAGCCATGTGAACACTGTCGTGCACTCGTTGACCCTTCAGTTTGATAGATATCTGAAGCGGGCTTTGGCTGCTGAGGAGTCATCTCGTGCAACTCATACTGATTTGAGGGCAGCTCGGTCTAAGATCCATCAGTTGGAAGGTGACGCTGTAGCTCAAAAGAGCTTCATTGAAGTTCTATTGTTAGAGAAGGAGGATCTAGCCCGCGAGAGGGACAGGCTGAAGGCTGAGGTGAACAGGCTCAGAGCAGGCTAGGAGGCCTTAAAGCTCGAGGTGGAGAGCCTCAAGGCGGGTCAGGAGGCTTCGCAGCTCGAGGTGCAGGAACTTAAGGAAGCCAAGGGGGGCCTGGAGCACGAGGTGGWGTACCTCAAAGCTGATATTAAGGAGAAGACCGAGATCTTCGATCAAGCTCTCGGGGAGACGAAGGTCCAGGCCATCATCGACTACGTCAAATCATCTAGGTTTGACGACGTGATGTCGTAGGTCTACCGTAGGGGGTTTAAGCTCAGCAGGTGGTTGATAAGGCATGCATACCTCGACCTCAACACAAGTGCCAACACCACCTGGAGGATCACAGACGACATGGCCCGCCAGGCCATGGATGACCCAGACTCCGAAGAGGAGGGCGGCGATGAGGAGGCTGGTGCTACCGACCTGGCTGACACCCCCGAAGAGGCTCCGAGTGAAGTCGACAAGCCTTCGAAGTAGTTGTGTGCTCCTTGTACTCTGGGCCTGCAAGCTCAGTTTTACTTTTTCTTTTTCTTGATCCTTTGTACTGAGGTTTTTGTAATGAAAGCACATATTATGTAATGAGAGTACATATTTTGTCAAGTGTTTGTGTAATTCTCTTCTGCTGAAGTGTTTGTCTTATCCCGAGCTATCGAGCTAGCGGGTTTAGTTCTTGAGGTGGGTGTCCCTTTACTGCAGTCACCCCAAACTGTTTCCCTGTACTTAGTAGGGGTGACCATAAGATTTTACAACGTACGCCGAGGTGGACATAGTAAGGTGCGTGCCCGACCTGTCTACTTGGCTACTTAGGTTGGTGTTTACCCCTAGCAGCATATATTGAGGTAGGCTAAGAGTCTGAGAGTTCGTACCCGAGACGCCTTTTGTCCTTGGCATACTAAGCCTATGCTGACGAGACAATTAAGTCATGCATAGCGCCGAGGTCTTTAGTTAGCTCAGCACGTTGGCCCTTAAGCTAGAGGGGGTGACTGGGTCTCGTGTTGCCGAGGTTGTCGCTAACTYTGCAAATTGGCCCTTAGGCTCTAGGAGCGACTCGTGGTCTACTCAGTTCGGTGATTTATCAGTAATATTGTCTAAGGTTGACAATATTCCACGCCTGAGGTACTTGTCTTCCTTCTAGGGTTTCGAGCTCGTACGTTCCTTCCCCGAGCACTCGCTTGACTCAGTAGGGTTCTTCCCAGTTTGGCCTGAGCTTGCCAACACCGGGCTCAGGTAC